ACTAAATAATTATTAAATAAATAAGTCCATCAGCTTTTGTACCTTAGTCTATGAATTTCTGGGGGTTTTCTATAAAAGGATGTGGAGAGAATTCCCAGAGTCAACATTCATGTCGTTTTCCTCTAGAAAACCCCTTAAATATCTTAAGAGAAACTGACTTCCCAATTTCACATGAAGAATTTTTTTTTTGTCCAAAGATAAAAAATTCCTTAACATGAAGATGTGATACAATAAATATAATAAATTAGGTTTTGCTGCAAACACGCATTGAAATGAATGCCTGCTTGGATCTTAAATGTTTTGATTTCCTATAAGTAGATACGCACATGAACCATGGAAAAAAGGAGGAATCACGTGAATGAAAGGCTTGCTCCTTATAGGTCAAGGGTACAGGTCATTGTGTCATTTGTGCATCCCCAACACTCCTAGTGCACTTAAATGTAGTAGGTGCACAACACCTGCACGCTGCACAAACTGTTAAGTTAATTTTAACCCCTCAGGGATTTCTGTGGTGCTCTGGTCTATTTCCATCATTTTACAAAGGATGAAACTGTTGAGGCCACATTATGACTACATATCTAATTGTTGTACACAGTTGAGATTATAACTCAGGATTCTTATCTGCCAGTGGAGAATTATTTCTGCAATTAAAAGAACAAAGAGCATTTATTGAGCACTTACTACGTACCAGCCACTTCACATACGTTATGTCATATCTGCAAGAAAAGCCTGCCAAAGACACACTATCCCCATATTTTAGTCGAGGAAGGTGAAGCTCCAAGAATTTAAATGTCTTGTTCAAGGCAGAATGTGGTAAGCAGGAGAGCTAACATTCAAACTCAAATTTGTCTGCTCCAAACCCACTGCCTTCCATGTCACACCACATTAACATTCACTAATAGCATAAAGCACTGATCAGAGAAGGAAATATGTGGGCTTGCTAGAGAAAGCTAAAATTGTTTATCATTTTACTTTGTTGAAAAGTAAAAAATATGTTTAAATGTACAGTCAAAGCAAGTGTTTACATGCAACCTCTCTCCAAAATCAGGTTTGTAAGTCACTTAGAAAAGGAATCTGTTCGTGAAGAACACCAGATCTGAGCGCAGAATGATGGCAGGTTACCTCGTGCTCAATGAATCACCAGGTGCAGATTCCATGTCTCACTAAAGATGAAGAGGTAGGCGGATAAGAGAACAACCAAATCACTACTTAAGGTAAAGAGTCAATGTGACAGGCACGTGTTAAAACCCTTGCTTTTCTACAAGGAGATGGAGCTCCCAGCTAACACTGCGCCCTCTTCCAGCATCATCTGAAATCCACCCCAAGAGAGGATTATTTAAAATACTGACTCCAAGAGGTCTGAGCTCTTCTGTCCTACCTGAAAATCTTTAAGACCAGCCATTCTGTGAGGTTTGGGTGCCAGCCCCTATTTGCCACTGACCTTTTGTACCATCTCAGTAACTCAGTTAGCTTCCAGAGCCTCAGGTTGCTTCTCTATGTAATGAGAATAAGAATATCTACTCATAACATTTTTGTGAAAATTAAGTGAGATGATAGAACGTAAGGCATCTACCCAAAACCTGACCCAAGTTGGGACTCAGTTTATTCACGAAGGTTGGATGGTAAATGTCAAGTCCCAGAACAACGAAAGGCAAAGTGGTACATGGAAATCAACCAGATCATCGTGGTCTATCCTAATACAGCATTAAAGTATCATAATGGCAAAATAGAAGTAAAAGCCTCTGACACTATTTCCGGTAAGAAAAGGACAAGACAGTGAACTGAAATACTCAAATTGACTCCAAATAAAAATACGAATAATCAATATTAACACTTGCCACTCACCTATTACCTAACAAGGGTTTTATAAGGGTTAATAAGTGTGGCACTTTGAAATTTCTTGGAAATAAAGAATAAACACATGCCCCATCACACATGCATATATAGATAAATATATATTTTAACAAACTAAGGATTACTGTATAAATTTAGATCAGGGCACAGCATGCCTAGGATGAGTAGGGTAGGAACAATATGTTCTTGCTTACGACACCAAGCTCATGACAAATGATTCATACCCAGCACCTTTCATGCCAAAAGATCCCCCAGGTGTTCCACCAACTCTAGCAACACTTTCCATCAAGCTAGACTGCAGTATAGAGGAATCACATCACTCCCACGGATGAGGCAAAACAGTCATGTCTTTACACAACTGCACAAGTCCAACAGTGGAGGGGGCAGGAATAAGAAGGAAAGGAGGCGAGAGAAACATCCAGAATTCCTCACAAGTTTGACAGGCAGCCTATAATTACCATACATTTACACCTTTAATGCAGGTGTTATTGTAATCAGAAACCCTACTTAACAAGGCTTTTAGCTAAAGGTGAGACAGGTTCAGAGGATGTGTATTGCCTCTGGCCCTGAGTGGGTCAGGGGGTGGATTTACATGGGGACTGACAGCTAAATGGGAAGAAAATGAGAGCCCCACAGTGTTGCCCTCAGGTTTAAGTTAGTGGATTTCTTGCTCTAGGGAGACGTGAAGTGCTGTAAGTTGAGAGTTCCAAACAGGTGTACCGTACTGTTCTTGACAATCACAACACACTTATGTGCAACCTGGCATGTAATGAATTGGCATGGACCCCATTTTAAGGATGAGGAAATTCACACTCAGAGTGCAATCGACTTGCCAAGATCAAACCACAAATAAGCAGAACTAGAACTCAAGTCTCCACACAGCTTTTCACCTCACAGAGTTGCCCAGAAAAAGTTTTTTCTGCCTTCCTTCCTTTAAAAACAATTGTTAAACTTTGTGTCTCCTATGAATCTGGGCCAGTTTTGTTTTGTGGGACCTGGATTAAGACTATAGCTCTCCCTCTGCCATCTGCATATATATGCTAAAAAAAAAACAAAAAACAATTTGTGTGTAAACAGGCAGGGATGCAGAGCCGGGGCGGGGGGGGGGGGTTCCTTACAGAATTAAAAACTTCAAAGGGTAGAAATCTCACTAGCAACATGATCTGAATGCTCAAACCTTTCACATGCACTACCTTGATTATTTGCTACATTATCTCAGACATGCCTGCATGTTGCCCATCCAAGTCCTGACCCTAAGAAGCCGGACTGTGCTTATAAGTATCATATAAAAAATAAAAAAGGCTGGCAGTGCTTGGCGCCATTTCTTAAATGGAGTTTAAAATTTGCCAAAGATGTATTCTCCTTTTCCAGCTCTTTCCAGGATCTTTCAAGAGATGAACTAGTCTAATGGGTGAGTGATACTTTACAGCTCAAATTACATTAAAAGCCAGAAATATTTTGAGTCCAATGTCCTTTACTTCTCGATACAACCAGATATAATGTTTGATGTGTTTAAAATCTCCCCTTAAAGCCAGAAGCTTTGAGTTAATCACTTAAAGCAGTGTGAAAGTTATTCAGTTTAAGAAGATTTGAGTTCAAATTGGGGGATTAATTTTAGTGGTTTTGATATGAAAGATATGATAGTTAAGGTAAGAAATGAGGGCAAGGGTCTCCGGAACTTGAATGGAAAGAATTTCAGCTTCAATTATTTGATTAAATCATTCCTGAGAACCATAGAAAACCATAGCCTCAGTCATGAGAGCTGAATTGTAGGGAAAACCTTGCTGATCCTCTCAGGACAGAGACATCAATGCAAAAAAAAAAAAAAAAAGCATTTATCATGGTTTGCCTTAATACAGTTTATATCTATATACCCAAAGAACCCACGACGACAGACTATTATTTTAAAACATTCACAACTTTCGTTAAAAAGCTGACAATGAGCACAACTCACTAAAGTGGCACTTCCCTGGGAAGGTTTCTGGCAATGACATCACAACTGAAAACATTTTGAAAGGTACCAGGCTGCATAGACTGTACATGTTACGAATACTACAATCTCAATAACCCGATGGAAGCTGAAACTCTGATTTTTTTTTCATTTTACCCATCCTTGGTTTTTATGTTCTTCTTGTCTGCTTAATGGCAGCTCAGAGAACTTTCCACACTTTTAAATCATCTTCACTTATTACCATCAAAGCTGGATCTTTACTATTTCAGCTCATTGAAGTTTTCTAGGTGCAGTTTAAGCTGGAATAGCTACCCCAGATTCCAGACATGCAGGCTTTTCCAAAAATCTAAAACCTCCCCTGACGTGGCCAATGCTCATGGACTTGCACCCACTCTCCCCAGTGTCAGCATGGGGAATCCAACAATCCCCCTGGTCCCTTCATAAAAGGAGGGCTAAGTCTTTATTTGTGCTCTTCTCTAGAGGAGGTCAGTCAATGGGGAAGAACAGGGGGTTGTTGTCACTGGGATATATCTGATCTTCCTGGGACTGATCATGCCAGAGAACAACCACTCATTCACAGGCTGGAAAGCCCCAGCTCTCAAAACACACTGGCTGGTGCTGTTAGAAGATGCTAGAGAGTTCCTGTCCTGAAACTTGCATCCACTTGGTCCCCAGAAACAGAGAATACATTAAGGGCACCTTAGTGTCCGCTGCATATCTCTTCCCTTCTGGGGAAGAGGGGGTTAGAAGCTTTGCATAAAAATAAGCTTATACGTAAAGTCTTCTTGATCTTACTTGTGCTCACCCATAAGTCTAGCAAGTAAAAGGAAAGTCACTTAAAGGAATGTCATCCTGCCTGGAAATTTAACCCATTCACCTCCACATTCAGAATACTTAACCCCTTCTGTTTGCCTGTCTTCAGCTCTGTTACTACACCAATGAGACCAGGAAACAGGAAACAGGGATTTGCCTGCCCAGCCTGAAGCTTTTGAGGGGTTCTGAGAGGACTCTGATGGTGTCATGGGTCTCCTGATAGGTGACATTAACTCCTAGGGGAGGTGGGCAGGGAAGACTTTAGCTTGCAGCATCTCTCAAGTCCAGGAACCTCATTTCCCCAGATTCTCCATCAGAACACAACATTCTGCTTTAACCCTTTCCATCTTTCACCCCTTGCCCTCAGTCCCCATCTACTCACGCTGCTGTTGTGGCCAGACCAGTGGACCATGGCTTGGTTGTGTGCGGAGTCGCCTGTCAGCGCGAACGTGGTGCTGGTCAGTCTCAGCTCCTCCATCCGGAAGCGAGTGGCTTTGTCCGGGTCCCGCTCCAGAGTCCCAGGCTCCTGCTGCCCTCCATCCCTTAGCACTCCCCGGGGGCTTCGACTCGCGCCCTCTCCCCGTTCTGCCTTCCCAGGATCCGCTTCACTCCGTCTCCGCCGGGCAGAGCGTGGGGCAACCGCCACGGACCCCCCGGTGCCGGGGGCCCGCTCCAGGGACAGCGCTCGGTCTCCGGGGGCCACTGCGAACAGGGGGCGCCCAAGGAGGGGCAGGGGCGTGGCAGCAGCTCTGCCTCGCGGCCCCTGGCGAGGGAAGCCACCTGGGGTAGGAGCCCAGCGCGGGGCCGAGCCGGGGGATAGCTGGGGGTAGCAGGAGCCGCCGCCGCAGGCGCCCGGGACGCAGAGGACCAAGAGCCCCGCGCCGGCTAGGAGCGCGCTCAGCCGGGCTGGGGAGCCGCCGCCGGCGCCAACTTTTCCCATCGCGGGAGCGGAGAGCAGCGAGCGGAGAGGGGGCCGGAGCGGAGGCGGCGGCGCGGGGCTCTCCGCTGGCCGGCTGTGGGGGGCAGGCGCTCAGGACCCCAACTCCATCCAAGTTGGGCCGCGGAGGGGGCGGG